ACAAATACCTTCACATTCAGATGGCCTGTAAATGTTTGGAGAGGACAATTAAGTACTCGTGACGTGCACATTGACAAATCCCAAAGCTTTAATGTGTTATCCGTAGATGCAGACACAAGAGTCGTTGAATCTATGAACTTAACGTAGCTCACTGTTTTGTTATGCCCACCTAAAGTGTACAGAGGCATTTTTGAGTTGCGTAGATCATAGTAATATATCCTATGATCTGCTGAACCGAAAGCAAGGAAACGACCAGAGTCTAAGGGGAATTGAACACAGCAGACATTGGCCTTTGTCTTGATTGTACCAACACTTACTCCCTGCAATAGCAACCCATGTAAGAGAAACAACTTTATTACATTCAGAACTGAATATACACAGCAATGATAACTAGATGACTGCAAGTACATGTAGTTTCAAAGCAGACATCCACCAAGTGCAAAATAAGAATTGCCTGATTGATATTCCAGAGCTTAACTGAACCATCATCACTGCCGCTGGCCAGCATTGTTGGTTCTGCTACAGAGAAGTCCACAGACCAGACACGCCTTTCATGTTCTTTCATTTCCATGAAAATTTGACTCCTTGTAACATCCCATACCTACACAATATTTGATCAAAAAATGATTTAACAATCTAAGTAGAAAGAAAATGTAAATTATATCTAGTACTGGAACTCCGGCCTACCTGCACCACACCTTCGAAATTACTTGAAGCGATCTGGCTTTTGATATAGCCATTCCAACATATGCTGCTAAGCTTTGACCTGCCTGCCATTTCAACCACAGGATAATGGATATCACGATCTTCATTTAAGATCGAATTATATTCAAAAACTTTGATCTTCTTGTTTACGCCAGCAGTTGCAAAAAATTCACCATCTCGATCAAAACTCAGAGAGCATACGAGGTTTGATGAATTTAAAAGATCCCCTTGCTTCAAGTCTGCCTTGACTTTCAGTTTACTAAAAGAGAGATACTTGCATAACCCCTCTAGGAATGTATTTATCCATCCACTTTGTCTATAAT